TAAAATACCGGATAGTACTTTTTTTTCCTAAACCACTGAATTCTTGTGTTAGAACTTAAAGGGCGGTGGTTGTCATGCAACAATGTGTTCAAATTTTGTTGCATTTTCCCACATATTGTGCTAGCTGCTACGAGTCTCATATCAAACACGGCTCGGCACAACAACCACAACCATAGTTCATACGATCAGAATAACCTTATAACAAAAATCAATCCAGATTTTTCAGCCTTCTGTGATTGATCTACAATTAAATTTTTTTCAGATTCTGTCTGATAATTTGTTTTATACCTGGTTTATTTGAAAATCTTAAACTATTATTTTTATTATAATTACTATATACATGTATTAAAATTATTACCAAATTATTACTCCTACAAGTTTTGTTAATCTTTAAAATATATTTACTTTCCGCTAATTTAATTTGAAATCTGACACTTAGGAATTCACATGTTATGAAAGACATCAAAGTGTGACTCACTGGTACCAACACATGACCTCCACAATGATACTTAAATCTATGATCGTGATTTGATTTGATTTACATACTCACTCAAATCAGATTTTTGGTAACTGATGAAAATATCTGTTCTCCAATGGAAGCAAGGAGTATAATACTCTCTAATCAACAAAGTGATTCTGTTAAACATAAATGGGTGCAATGGGACAATATTGTTTTAATCAGTGGCCACCCATCAATAATAAATCTGTTTTTTGTTACAGATTATACTACGGTATATTTTAAAAGGAGTTTGAATAATGTTGTTTTGTCCCATCAATGTTGCCATAGAAACGCTTCTTTGCCTGAATGCGCGACTGATAATATTGGAATAATGCTATGGAATATGATACACAGAAAATGAGAAAACAAATTTCCTATTTATAGTTCTTGAAAAGAAATCACACTGTGCATTCCACCAGCTTGCATTAGGTAAACAGTCGGTCATTCATTTGAATGAACAAGGCATGTCAAACTGTTCATGTTGACTGGCCCGTTAAAACTCCAGAGGACGCACTGCATTGTCTAAGATGAAAAGTACAAGATTTTCTAATGATATATCCTCATCGTCTGGAAACTTGGCATTCCATGATTTGTGACCCGCTGGGTAGAAGAGTAGCGACGGATATGTCGGCACGGTGTACTCCCATGGAAGGTCATTTGCATCAGCATTTATCCTTAAAAAAAATATGTAAACAAAAATAGTTTTGGAAATTATGAAGCAGTTTCACAACGAGCAAGGAAATGGGGAAAAAGGAAATAATCATTTAAACAAACCCAGAGAGAGGTATTACTATAAATATTAGTTAATTACTGGGTTTTAACTTCAGTATTTCTGCTGGTAAGTGAAATGTGTACAATAGATTTTTAACTATATCACCAGCTAATCTGTGATATTAAAAAAAACAGTGAATATGATCAAAATGTAGGTAGTGTATTAGAATCTGATGATTGCCTCGGCTGATGCAGACTTCTTGTTGTACAAAGAAGATAGAAATAATAAACTGCAAGCAGTAAATTTAAAATAATCATTCTACTCAAATTATAATTTTAGGTTTTCATAAATTGCTGTGAATGCACCTGGAGGGAATGTTTAGTGAGTAATAATTATTAGATGTCTCACCTTGCAATTGTTAGATTCTGTGATGATTGGAAGACTTTGGTGATATCTAGATAAGTCTGATACAGACTGTTACAAAACCCACACCATGGGGTATAATATAATAGTAATACATCCTATGATTGGTAAAGAAGAATATATCACATCATATAATTATTGAAAGAATCATAATATGGAAATGTTTTATTTTGCCAATCAATACCAGATACTGCACATAATTTACCTCTATGAAACCATGGTAATATATATGATGTAGATTTTACTGATAATGAGAAATTTCATCTCAGACATTTACATTTGTGGAAACACAAACTTTTTCTGGAATTCTTAGCATCTTCATGGATTGGAGTGGCGAGTTTTTGCCAACTTTTATTCTGAACATTGTTCGTCTGATAACATTGTTCATTTTGTTTTCCACAATCAAATCTTTTTGTGGTTATTGACAAACTCACACAGTGTTTTATAATGATACATGTCATACACTTCCTACTGACTCTTCTCTAGCTGGCAATAGCGAATTGATTTTAGATTGTGCTACGCCAT